TCTCTCTCTCTCTCTCTCTCTCTCTCTCTCTCTCTCTCTCTCTCTCTCTCTCTCTCTCTCTCTCTCTCTCTCTCTCTCTCTTGCGCGCGCGCGCTGAGAGAGACAGAGAGAGAGAGGGAGCGCGCGCTCTAACATAGCTGCACGCCTATGTGCGAGTTTTTTTGTTTTTTTTTGAATCAATCAATCAATCAATCAATCAATCAATGAAGCATTCAATCAATCAACAATCAATCAATCAATCAATCGACAATCAATCAATCAATCAACCAATCAATTTTTATTTCTCTATTTTGTTTTGTTTTTCCTGTTTTGATGATTTTAATTTTTTTTAATATAAAAAAAGATAATCTGCGAAATACCCCCATAATTTGAGATATATGCCAAAATGCCCCTGAAAGACGTCACGGTGGGTAGAGCGGAATGGCTTTTTTGGGCCGAAATCTTTCTGTTATGCCCCTGGCAGGTGGGTGTGCAAGCTTGCAATCTGGACCTCGCCGTTTGGGCATGGCCTTTTGCAACTGGGCCTTAGGACAGTTGCCAAGTTCTGGGTATTTTGCAAAGTTGGATGGTACTCGGTAGGGGTATATCACAAAGATGGGGGGTCCAACCGATGCGAGGGGTATTTCACAAATTTTTCTTTTTGTCAGAGGGGCATTCCGCTCTACCCACATCTTTCAGGGACATTTTGGCACATATCTCAACTTATGGGTGTATTTTCCAAATTTTCCCTATGTGAGGCTTAAGGCCTCGATCTGCCCTACGGGGCCCTATTTTCTGTACAGTCGGCCGTCCTAAGTGAAGGCAGGCTCCACCCAGGGCCTACAGGCCTATTTTGGGGTCATTACGCGACTGGGTAAATTCAGGCAGTTGCGCAGCGCCAGTTGCTTGAGAGCGCCCAGGCCCAGGCTGCCTCTTTCGAATGTAACCGAGGCAGGCCCTGGGCCAGATTCGCAACATGGACCGAATACAAGCCACGGGCAGTTGGAAACGGGCAACCACCACAGGCCCAGGGCCTGATTCGTTTGGACTGGGGCTCGGCCTCTCTGGGCCTACCGGAAGCTTCTGGGCAGGGGCCCAGCGCAGACAGGCTGCACGCAAGCAAGCAGGCCACTTCCATTTAGGGAAGGGCCTGCCCACACATTCAGCATTCGGGCACTGGCTGCATGCTGCGCTATACGCTGGCCAGCGCTCAACGCTCAGGGGCGAGCTGGAAGGAGCAGGTAGCCCATAGCCAAGCTGCGCTGCTGTATGCTGGATAGGGCGCATGGTGGTCTTTGGGTGCATGTGGCATCTGTGAGTTGGGGATCGAGGTTATGAGTGAGGCGAGAGACATACCGGGTGCTTGAGGGGAACGGCATTGGCCGAGATCTGCTCATACTTCGGGGAGCTGTTGACGTCATCAGTGGCATTGTAGATAGGCTAGATAGGATCTGCCATTTGTAGTCTGGGCGCCGAGCGCCAGATAGGATGTCGACATTGGTTCTTTGTTGACGATGATGAGACTATTCGAACATTGTCACTTATGAGCTTTTTCTGTGCTCTTATTTGATGGGACTCTTGATGCAATTCTGCTTTTGGTTCGAGGTCACAACTATCTGGTCTCACATGTATGATGCTGCTTGGTTTCTGAAGTTCGCTATCGCTCACTTTCCTTGCACCTATAAAACAAGACCAAAAAATAAAATAAAAAATATGGGGGTCTAGAGCACGAAAAGCTCTACATCCCCATATATATACATATATATATAGAATATTATATATATGTATATATACTAGGCTGTTTTCCCAGGCGCCCGGGCACCCAACTTCTGCCCGGGCATGACCCCCGGGCAGGGTTCCGGGCAGCCCCAGCGCCAAAAGAAAAAAAAAAAAACTCAATAAATTCCGGAAAAAACATATGTTGTGTAGGATTGAAATGCAAACCACTTTTGGCTGAGGGTCGCATTATGATTCCTCACAGAATCGGAGATAAAAAAGAAAATAACAGAATCACACAAAGGCMCCCCCCTTTAGACCCCTTTAGCCCCTTTAAAACCAATTTATACCCGCCTCCCCCCCCCTTGACAGCCAACTCGCAAAAAACGAAATGAGCCCGGATTTGGAGTCCTCTGGTAAAGCGCAGAAAACTTTTTTTTGCACGCGCGGGTACCCCGGGCGTCACGCCCGGGTGCCCGTCCGGGCAGGACCGGCCGGGCGTGAGAATCTTCGTAGTATATGTGACAGACCTTTCTTTGTTTCGTGGATGTTTTGCTGGCTTGTGATGGGGTGTGAACCGACAGTCTGTAGAGTTTTCCATCTGGTGTGGGTGAGTGATAGTCTACTTTGATTTTG